ATAATAATAATGATAATGAAAATGATAATGATGATGATGGTGATGATGGTGATGATGATGGGAATTTATATAGTGTCTAAATCCAGAGAAGGCCATAACTATAAGTGTTGAACAATGCAGAATCGTCGCTCAATTTAAAAGACGAATCAACTGACAAAAGCGATGTTATTGGGACTGTGACTTTGAGTAAAGAGAAGCACATGGACGCAATAAACAGACGTTTGTGGTGTAGCGGTTAGACGTTTCGCCGTCGCTGGCAAAGGACCCGTGGTTGAATCACGTGTGCCTCAATTTTTATCTAATATTTCTGTCCTTTTGCTGGGATATTGAACCTCTCTAAGCCCAGGCTGACCTTGAAAAGAATGAAATGCAGGGTCGACACCCACCTCCTGAATAATCAAAATTGTGTTGACCAATGTGTGAAAAACACCTAGATCTACATTTTAAAAAAAAGACTCAACAAGAGTAATTTAATGCTGGTATAAAGCGAGACAGACAGATGTAGACAAAAGAGGGAAAGTAAGCTAGTAGGCCTTACACATGGAGTCCCCCCAACCACCAGCATACTTTTAAAAACACAAGTACTAAATGCATAAATTACGCGTTCACAGATGTTACAAGGTGATCTGTCAAAACACGCTCAACAATGAACCTATTTAACACAGAACCGCACAACAATAGACTTGACTTGATTAAAGTTGATATGATCTGAAACACAACTGTAAACTCGGATGAACAGCACCACTGCACAACAATGAACTCGCGATCGGATTATAATATAACGCATCATTGCACAACAATAAACTCGAATTTAACGCATCTCAGCACAACAATGCAACTCGAACAGAATCGCACAACAGTACACTCAAATTGATCTGAAACATAAGAGTTCACTCCAATATAACACACCAATGCACAGCAGTTAACTCGAACAGAATCGCAAAATAATAATAATAATAATAATAATAATAATAATAATAAAATAATGATGATGATAATAATGATAGTAATGATAATAATAATTTTAAGAAAGCATTTGTATAGCGCCTATAT